CTAAGCATTTCAAGTTACATGACTTAGTTTCAGGTTAATTTTAACTCTTATGATCAATAACCAAATCAAGGGAAGGCAACTTTGGTCAGAGATCTCCCTATAAAGCTAGGGCAGACTCATACATATTATATGTAGAAACTGCTTTATAATAAAAATTTGATCTTATACAACAATTGAGAAAGCCCTCAAGTCCTCCAGACTAGAAAAGAATAGAAGAACCAGGAACAAGAACTTGCAATGTGCTAGTGCAGTAATCTAGAAATTAAGAGTATGTATCAAATGATGCCTCCAACTACTTGGCGTGCTATGAATAGTTATAAAATGACTATCTATCATCTAATGCTTCTCACTGTTTATCAGGGTTCTTTGTCCAACAAGGCCTGCTAGAGGTACCTACTTAGTAGCAAAAACACTGAAAACAACCAAACAGTCGAATTTATGAACTGATTGTATATAGTATAATCTAGGAAAAGATAAGAACGTGCACATAATTCTAGAGTTGGAGCAGCTATTGACACTGTTGCCTCCTTTACACATCAAGGGTACATTATCAGCATCTATCTCCCTTCAGCCAAACAGATTACAATTTTAAACAAATGAAAAATATGGTTTTCCATGACATCAATCCTTGGCTTACCTGTTCTATGTTGGCCTTAAAATTCCTCCTCTATTCTTGCATGGCAACTCCAAACCTAAACGATATATGGCCCTCGATTCCTTTTAGGAAAGTACCTAACTAGTCCTCGGGATAAGCTAGTTTCAACCTTCAACACGCTTCCTCATCCTCAATTGCCCAAATAGCATTTGGGATGGATATCCTAGGAATTTCCTATGAAAAATAACCAAGTTGAACCAATGTATATTCTAGCAGCGCTCAAATGATACGTAATTATTATCTATATAACAATAAAAACACAGATGTTAACCAGATCATATCCAATTGACATAACTCAACTTCAAAACAAACAACTGACCTGGATTCGATTCCGATGAGGAAACTCTGAAACTGTCCGCTGCTCCTCTATTCCCTGCAGCTCTCTCTCCCTCTCCCTCACCATTCTCATTATCAAATCCAACCTCGCCTGGCGACCCCGAACCCTCAACAAATCCCTTCTCACATGCTCCGGCTGCCCATCCTCCAGATCTGTGACCGACCCATCTCGGCTCCTCCGCTCCCCCTCCTCCTCTCTCCTTCTGCTCCTCCCATCCCTCTGCTCGCTCGCCATCTGCACCCATTCCCTCACCAACCTAACCCTCTCTCTCTCAGTTTCACCCAGCCAACTCTGACCTAGGGCTCTCAACTCTGTTGGTCGCATTCGAAACTCTCGATCCAGTCGTCTCTGAGATCCTGCTAACGATCTCTCTAACTCTCTCCCTCTCCCTTTCATCGCCAAGATCCGGCGACTGTTCTCTACTGGACCTCGGATCCTCATCCAAGTATCCAGTCTCATCACTCTCACTGACGTCATCGGATCGGATCTGGTCACCTCCGGCGGAGTTAACCG